CTCCTGCCTCTTCTGAGTGTCCTGCAGCGCCCCCCCCGCTGCAGAAGGAGGAGGAGGATGGTGTCCCCCTTTGTCAGCATCTCCACACTGGATGTTCCCGGCCACATGTGGGGGCACTGGGGCTGAAGGCATCTCCATGGGGTCCTGGCTCCCATCTCCATCCTGCTTGCCTTAGACCTCCTTGCCTTAGACCTTCTGCACCACTTTGTCCGTCTGTCCACTTTCAGGACCAGCCACGCTGCAAGAGTAGGAGCAAGACAGGGGCAGAGGTCCCCTGAGACCTGCAGCATCACATGGGACACAACCCCAGTGCGATCACACCATCCCCTGGCACCAATGGGGTCACCTCGTGTCCCCTAGGGCAGACAACCCCCTGAGCTGAGCACTTCTGAGGCTGCTCTAACTTTGTGTAGGTCCTACCACAACACAAGTCAAGCCCCCACTGGCAGCTGTGTTTACCTCCATGCCTGCATAGGCAGAACTACAGGTAATTCCCTAATTCAATCCCTTTCCCAGCCTTTAGGGTTCTTTGGGGGGGTCATGCCCAGACTTTGACCCGGGTGCCCCTCTCCACCCTCTGCTCTGCCCTTGAACCTGAACCCCACTGGGTTTCCCTGGAAAAACTCTTCTTTTTGTGATTTTATGTGAATTTATTTTCCTTTAAGGTAGCTAGAAACAGCTAAATCACTCTATAAGGGTTGATTGATGCTATATCATGTGTGTGCATGTATATGTATCTATATATAGATATAGTATATCTAGATACATATATAGAGATATATCTAGATATGTGTCTATGTATATGTATATAGCTATGTATATATATAGCTATAGTATATATAGATATGTATCTATAGCTATAGTATATAGAGATATGCATCTGTATATAGACACATACGTGTATGTTCTGATTTTAATTTCAAGCATAATCCTTAGGGCATTTAATGGAGGTTTTTTGGCCACTCCTGGCTGTGCGTCATCCCGACAGCAAAAGAGAAGGGTTTGGGGTGTTCCTTGGGATTCCCAGAGGATCTGGGCTGCTAGAGTTAAGAATCACCCTGTGGGTCCAAGGCAGGGGAAGGATTCAGCCCTGAGGGGGTCAGCAGAGCCCCTGTATCTCCAGCCTGGTGTTGTAAGGAGTTAATCATGGAATGGTTTGGGTGGGAAGGGCCCTTAAAGCTCCTCCAGTTCCAACCCCCTGCCACGGGTGAATGCCTGTGGTTGGAGCAGCCCTTGGAGAGGACACAGCACCTCAGGGTGCTCCTCACCCCACATACCCTGGGGGGACCCTCCAGCTGCACCCACCAGCACCCCATGGGTCCAGCCAACCCTCCTGCTCCATCCCAAGCATCTCAGCCTGAGGGAGCCCATGGTGTGTTTATAGGTAGGACCTACATGAAGTGCCCATGTCGGAGCTGTTTATATCTTAGTGGCTGTACAAAGCCTCACCTTTGGAGGAGGGGGGATCACTAATGCCCCCAGTGAGTTACTCAGGTCTAGAACCTCCCCAGAGCCACTGAGCCCAGACCTTGCAACCAGCCCAGGTGGGGTGGTGATGGGCTGGGAATGGGGGGTCCCAATCCTGTGTTGTGGGGGGGAGGGGAGGGAGTTGTGGCACACAGAGGTGACTTTAAAGAGGATTTATATGTCTTTGGTTGTATCTGCTTATCCTTGTGTCTCAAGTGACTCCAGTGCAGCTGGGAAGCACACAGGGATTGTGCAACCATATCCAACTCTCCCAAATGCACCAGCCAGGAGCAAAGATGATGTTTTTTACCGTATCTCCAATTTTGTAAGGACAAGCAGAGCCCTTTGGCTGCTATTTTGTACTAAGAGAATCACCTATTTTTGAACAAAATAAAGGCAGTTGGTTGCTTTGTCGCTTTTCCTTCCTTTCCCAAGCTGGTTCTTGGGTGAATTTTGGCATCCCCACACTTTCCCTTTGGAAGCATTTGGGATTGTGTGAGGAGATTTCCCTGTCCCCTCAGCAAGAGGCACGGCACAGGCAGGTTGCACTAGGGATGGAGATCGCTTTTATTGAGTCACTCGAGTGCTTTAGTACAGAAGAACAGATATACAGAGATGATACATGTTTGTGCTTCAACACTTTCCAACATTTAGATTCCAGTAATTTCAAGGTAAACAAGTTCCAAGACAGACTAATTTTTTTTTTTAAAGTTTTCCTTTTTGATAAATTATTTTTTATATAAATAACTGTTAACAGAAAAAAAAAATAATGTCCAACATACAATATCCTGAAGCATTTGCATTGCTAAAACCAAGAAGGAACTCAAACAGGGCGGGAGGACCAAGGAGGAACCAACAAATATCAGTGCAATGATACAGCCTTTGCCCTAAAAATATATATTTAACTTTATGGGCAAGGAATAGAAGGGGAAGGAAAGGATTTGAGGGGGGGACCATCAACGAGGCAAGAAAGAGAGATTTAGGGGAGGGAAAAGGGGGGTCACAGCCTTCAAGAACAAAACGATGGACCCCAAAATATTGCAGTGCACCTAATGGCAGGGGAAAGGGAGGGGAGCAATAAAAACCAACTAAAAACCCAAAGTTTGGGTAATCACTATACACCAAGCTTGTAAGAACATCACAGACACAGTCATCAATATACACAGAGTCTGGGGGGGGCCTCGGGGTGATGGCACGCTCAGGGATGCTTCACCACGGGATGACACAAGGAGCCGGGCACGGGAGCACCGACTTCCATGGGGATGGATGGAGAGGGAGATATATATGTAAAAATCCAGGGGTTCTTTTATATATATATATATCTTTCTATATAGAGAGAGACCCAGAGAAGGGGGAGGCTGCAGCAGGGCAGAGGAGCAGCCATACAAGCAAACAGGCCCCATCTCCAGGTTTTGACCGTTTTGGTCCCTTTTCACACGGGAACTGCCACAGCGTGAAGCATCCTGGGTGCACCCTGATACCCCCCGCCCTCCGTGCCAGACGTTGGTGTGCACATCTGGCAGGAGCACCCACCACCCCATAACAACAAGGGAC